CTGCTGCTTTTTCTTTCCTGATCCTTACTATTGTCATTTTCCTCTACTTCTTTTGTACATGTATGTTTGTCACTCTCTTGTGACCTGCTATTTCCGTGGTGCCCTGATAGTCGAAGCAGACCTTGTGCTGCTGAAGCAAGAGAGGTGAGCAGTCTAAGTCTGATTCCCTGTAAAGACTTCTCTGTTGACACCCACCCCTTGGCGCTCATATGACCTTACGCAGTTGCGAGCGCCGTAAAACCTTCTACTATATATAAAAAACATATATGGGCCATCATTCTCTTTTATTACACTTAAAACAAAAATAATATTTGGGGCTAGAGAGTGACAGGGAGATAGGGGATAAAACGGTTAGAAAAACGAAACTGATTATGCTATGTTTACGGTATACTTGATTTCAGCCAACAGGCCACAACAGAAACAAGATTGAAAACTTAAAAACAGAATAATGCTTAGAGTTCATCCCGACCTTATCTCATTACACCAGTACGATTAAGAATCCGCTTTGATACAGCATAAAGCTTCCTGTACTTTGTTATTTTGCTAGTGCATCTCGGGCAGAGAGGGCTTGCTTTTCTTGTGTAAGAACATTGTGGGAGAAATAGAAAAGAAAGTAATTGCAGCGGTGTTGTCCTTGACGAGGTAGTTAAATTCAGCTGTGAAAACCCCCCCCCAGAAAAAAACCCGAAAGAAAGAACAGAGAGTAGAAAGAAAAAAAAAGTAGTAAAATTTCAAAGAAAGATCAAAGCGTGCATCTAAGAGCACAGTTTATGTGTATACATTTTAATGAAAGCGGCTTGGTGGGCCACGTGATTTTCAGTTTATATATTTATATATAAAACTCTGTTCTTTAAATAAGAATGATAAGTTTAGTTATTTTATTGTTAATATTGAATTTTTTTTGTACTAAAGGAAAACGATGTACACGTGAAGCAAGGCATATCATTAGTATTCATCCCTGAACGCAACCTTTTGATTAAGCTATCTATTCATGTCAAATTGCGCTATTCAGAGCACGCTCACATTTCTATCTCCTTCTTTATTACTTTACAGAAAAGAAATTGAGCTCAAATAAAATCCCAGCACGGATTGCTGACGGCTACGATGTTTTATTTTTCTTCATTTTATTTTTATTGTTTTTGTGTGTGGTTTTTACTGTTTTTATTTTTTGTTTTTGTCGTAGTGCGTCATCAAGATTTCCTCCCCCTACAATATAGGAGCAGATCCAATCACATCCTTACACAAAAGTAAGACGTCACCGAATTAGAATTATTCACAGCTCTAACCACAGCGTTGTCAAGAGAATGTTTTCCTAAAGTGAGGCTTCGTAGAGTCCGTCGGGAAGGGATTGTGAGCTTAATTCGATTTCCTGGAGTTCGCAAAGACATGGGTACCTCTTATGTAAGCTGAGCTTTCTATAACCCCCTCACAAATCCTTCTCACGCTTTCTTGGTTTATCCGCCGCTTGCTCCTGTCTTACTCACTGACCACGAGTCCAGACCATCAAGCGGTCATTTTCTTGCACTTTTATTTATTCCCTGGAACAAGTCGTCCCAGACGCGTCTTTCGTTTGCCCAGATTTGGTGTTGTTCTGGAGGAGACAGCCAGGGGTATTCTTTAATGAGAAAAACAAAAGAAAAACAAAAAACTCCGCTTGGGACAAAGAGGAAAGAAAGCACATGAGAAATGAAAAATTCAACTGTCTCAAGTTAGGCAATTTGCTTACATTTACGAATCTTCACTATTTTTTATTTTTAGCATGTATAACGTGACATAATTCTGAGTCGAAATTACAACTGGTGTGTCTGTAAGTACATGTAGGCCTACATTTTTCTCATTCGAATTACTCTTCATTTCGTATTTCTTCTCTTTATGTGACAACTACATCTTATCTCTGTTTGTTTGTTTGTTGGTACTTTCGAAGCGCCCTCCCCCCTCCCCAAACCATCCTTTTCTTTCTTTTCCTTTTTCTTTATGTTTAGTCCTCTGCTTTTGGTTTCCTTTTTTTCCTTCTTTATTATACAGTCTTGAAAGAAGCAAATAAATTCTCTGCTCCCGTTGAGCCTTCTGTTGCATTCAGTTCCTGTGCTTCTGTAATGAAATACCAAAAATAGGTTGGGTTTCTTTTCTTGGAAGTCGGAGAAGAGTAATCCAGTTGTTGTTGTTTTTTTTCTATTCATAGTACGATGCATCTCTGTTTTAATCTCTCTTAGTATTTGGATTCATCACTCAAAGCAACAAACAACGTGGCCTAGAGGTTAAGGTGTTGGCCTCTCATTCAAAGGTCCTGGGTTCGAATCCGGGTAGCGACCGAAAAATTTTCTTCTCTAAAATTGTCTCCCTTCACCTCCTTTTCTGCGCTCTAGCAATGTTCTGTTGTCTGCTTTCATTTCCACTTTCTGCCCCTACCCCCTCACCTCCTTTGCCCCCTCCTCTGAGCTCCTGACTCTTTCTGCAGCCTTTCTACTGCTACTCCTTGGCTCCTCCTTACTGCTGTCTTTCTGCCACACCCCTGATCTTCTGGTAGGAAAGATCTACACCTA